CTTTCTTTCTTTCTTTCTTTCTTTCTTTCTTTCTTTCTTTCTTTCTTTCTTTCTTTCTTTCTTTCTTTCTAACAGAATCGTGTTTTGAACTTTTTGTGCCAGTGTAATAACATTGTCTTTTGTGTGCTGTAAATGTGAAAATGACAGTCAATGGGCTTCCTTTATGCTGCCCATTCGTTCATGGTAATGATACTTTTTATTTCTACAAAAGAAGAGTAATCTCATTTCTCATAGCTTCTTTGCTATAGCTGAGTTTTGTTCCAGGATTATCTTTTAAGAGAGAAGTCTTAATCCAAGTCTTTTTAGTTTCTTCAAAGCTTGTTTGTTTACATTACACTTGTTTGTATATTGTGCAGAAGGTTGCAATGATATTGGACATTTTTGGCATTAGGTCATTAAAGCAATGATTAAAAATGCAGTCTGACTTCAGAGTTGCAGTTTTTTTGTGCCATGCTTATAATCTTAATGTGATTCATCTTGCTCTTATTTGAAATGGTGCATATTGCATAACTGTGGTGAAAACAGTGCGCATGTGCTTTAAGTGGTGGGACGTTTAATGAGTGTGAATATGTCACTCATCATGTAAAGCGAGCAGCTTGCAGCACAGATGTTTTTATACATTAGGCATCTTCATCATTCCTAACAGTGTTCCCAGATGTCCCACAAGCACTGTTGCTGACTTTGTGTTCTGAAAACCTGTTAAGTATTGTAGAAGTTGTTGAAACCAGTGTTTTGATCTTTGCCTAGCATACAGRCTGCAATGATAGCTTAGTCGCAGGGGTGTCAAACTCCAGTCCTCGAGGGCCGCTATCCTGCATGTTTTAGAGGTTTTCCAGCTCCAACACACCTGATTCAGTGATTGAATTAACTCTTCAAATTGGGCAGAAGCCTGTTAATTACCCAGCGATCAAAATCTGGTGTGTTGGAGCAAGAAAACCTCTAAAACATGCAGGATAGCGGCCCTCGAGGACAGGAGTTTGACACCCCTGGCTTAGTGTTACGATCCAGTAGTTGCAAGTCATAACTAGGACCTGAAAGAGTMTACAGTTCTGCAGGCAAGATTCCAAAGCTGCACTCATCTATCAGGAGCAATGCAAACAAGCAAACAGGGGTAAAACCAACAGGCCTTTTGGTAATGAGGAACCTGCAGTTTACCATAACAGCATCTGATATTGGAGCCTGAAACTTAGTATGTCAACTTTTATAAACAAACTCCTCCGTAAGACTTCCTGTCTCTTTTTATTTTTCATTCAGCTGGTATTTTGTATTGCACAGAATCAGATAGTACGCTATGATAATGTTCCAACATGCAAGGAGAGTGTGATGAGATTTTTCTCTTGGTTATGAGAAAATGCCTGAGGAGTAGAGGAGAAGTGCGCTGGTGCCAGGATGTACAGAGTAGTAGCAACTACAGGGGAGTGAAGTTGATGAAGAGAGAACTGTGGAAGCTAGACTTCGACAAGGTGACTATTTGTGAGCTGCAATATGGTTTCATGACAAGAAAGAGTGCCACAGACACCGATGTTACTTTATGGATGCTAATATAGAAGTGGAGAGGGTCAGAAAGAACTTCACCATGTCTTTGTGGATTTAGAAAAAAATCAGATGACAGGGTGCCAAGGAAGGAGCTGTGACGTTGACTTTTTTATTTGTCATTCAGGCATTCACTTACAGTGTACAAAGAATGAAATTACACTTCAGGAGAGTTTTACAATGTAGAAATTATATTATGGAGACTTGAGTTTTGAAATTTACTGACTAAATATAAAAATGTTCACAGAAATGAACATTTAAAAAATCTAAAAAATGAGCAAAGATCTGCAGAATGAGCATGTTGAGAGAATTTGGACTTTCAGAGATGTATGTTAGACAGGTACATGGTATGTATGAGAACAACAGGACAATTGTGAGATGTGCTGCAAGAGTGACAAATAGCTGAAAGTCACCCATAGTAAGAGAGTAAATGGAAGGGGGGCAGGTGAATATGGAGGACCAAACCTATCATTATTGGAAATAAATGTATAAATATATAACTGGCGTATTAAAATAAATTATAGGGTCAAAAAGAAGTTTGACAAATAAATTATTGTGCCATTAAATCAATTACATCAATTATTTAGATATAA